ATTCATTTTTTATTTTAAAAAATGTAATTTTTATTTTTATTAGTATATGTTTGCAGTACATATTATTACATTCATCATGGGGAGTTGGTACATGTACATAACACATCTGAATTCTTTTTTCATCCCCTTCTCCTTTCCTTCCTTCCCCTTCCCATTTGCAAAAGCTCTACCTCCTTGTTTCCTATTATAGTCTTTTATTTTGCTCTTTATTTATACTTTTGGTTTCTCATATAAGAAAAACCATATAAAAAAGAAAACTCATATAATCTGATTATATATCTGAGTTATTTCACTTGCCATTATGGTCTCAAGATGCATCCATTTTCCTACAAATGACTTAAATTTTTCCTTCTGTATGGCAGGGTAGCACTCTGTGTGTACAAACAGCACATTTTCTTTATCCATTCATGTATTGATGAACATGCTTCCAAGATTTAGTTACTAGTTGTGCTGCTATAAACATGGGTATGCATGTATCACTGTGATATGATGTCTTTAATTCTTTTGGGAAGATACCTGGAAAGGAAGTGGCTAAATTGAATGGAACTTCTAGTCTTAGTTTTTTGAGGTATCTCTATACTGATTTCCATAGTGGTTGTATGAGTTTACATTCCCACCAACAATGTAGAAGGGTTCTTCCCCACCCCTGTAGTTTCATCAAGATGTGTTATTATTTGATTTCTTGATGACAGCCATTGTTTCTGGAATAAGATGGAATCTCAGTGTTGCTTTAATTTGCATTTTTCTAATGGCCAGAAATGTTGAACATTGTTTAATGTATTTATTGGCCATTTGTACTTCATTTTAGTTTTTGGACAAATTTAGAAAGAAAATTTACATCACTGCTTAAATGGGAAATCAGCATTGCTTGATAGATATAGAATTACTGCTGGGTGTGGTAGCATATGCCGGTAATCCTAGCAGCAGGAGGTTGAGGCAGGAGGATTGTCACGAGTTCAAGGCCAGTCTAGGATACATAGTGAGCTCAAGACCAGCCTGCACTACAAAATGAAACCCTGCCAAAAAAAGAAAAAAGAAGAATTACTGCAAATATACACACAGTCATCTCAAAACAAAACAATATTAAACTGTAGATGTGTTTGCCTGTTGGAGAGGTTTGGGAAATGAAGATTTCACTCTGTTAAAAAGGAAGCTACCCTGGCATGGTGGTGCATTTCCATAATCTCAGCACTTGGGAGGCTGAGGCAGGAAGATTGTTGTGAGTTTGGGGGTTGCTTGGGCAGTAAGTGTGGGACCAAAATGACTCCATTTTGGAGCCGTCTCCTTTGTTCTCTCAAATTTGTGCTTAAACTAGGAATTCACCACTTGAAATTCCTGAGTTTATTACCCAACCACCTGTGTGCCCGGGGAAAGAGCGTTCCAGGCACACTATCTATAAGATAAGCAGTTAATGAGCTAACTATCCACACAAGATAGATGCGGCCATTAGTGGGTCTGCTAACGATCAGTATGTAACAACCGGCCGTTAATCTTTGCCCCTTTCTCCCTCACAAAAACCAATACGTAATCCCCTT